ACGGCGAGTTGACCACATGAGAAGATGTGTTAAATCAGGTAACTGGAGAGACTGTCCTCCAGGTTATAAAGCTATCAGAACTGAATTAAGTGTAATAGGACAAGTTGTAATAAAGAGATACCAGAATCATCGTTCCAGCAAAAATTAAGAGGACAAGTGATTGATCTAGCTCATGAGGGATATCAGGGCATAGTGAAGACTAAACAAAGATTACGTACCAAAGTTTGGTGGCCAAGGATGGACCATGAAGCTGAAAGGAAATGCAGAGCATGTTATGGATGCCAATTGGTCAGCCAGCCATCAAATCCAGAGCCAGTACAGTCTACTCCCCTACCAAGCAGTCCATGGGTAGATGTTGCTGCAGATCTTCTTGGTCCGCTACCCTCGGGTGAGTATCTCTTGGTTATAGTAGATTATTATAGTCGATACTTTGAAGTAGAAATACTGAAAACTGTGACAAGTGACAAAATTATAGAAGCCATGGAAAGGTGTTTTGCATCTCATGGTTATTCAGTGTCAATAAAAGCTGATAACGGTCCACAGTTTATATCAGAACTGTTTGAAAGGTACCTAAACAAGACTGGTATAAAGCATAGACGTACCACTCTGTTTTGGCCACAAGCCAATGGCGAAATTGAGAGACAAAACAACACATTGCACAAGCGCAAGGTCAAGATTGGAAGAAAGAGCTAAACAAGTTTTTGTTAGCTTATCGTACAACTCCACATTCGACTACGGGAGTATCCCCAGCTGAGTTACTATATCGCCGTAAGTTGCGCACAAAGTTACCAGAATACTCAGAAACCTCTTTGAAAAGAGAGGATGATAGAGCTGTACGTGACAGAGATAGTGAAATGAAACAAAAGGTGAAGGACTATGCAGACTTTCGTAGACATGCGCGTGAGAGTGAAACAGGTGACACAGTGTTGCTACAACAGAAACGAGGGAACAAGTTATCTACAAGAGGTCCCATACAAAGTGGTAAATAAATATGGCAATCAGGTCACTGTGGAGTCACCGCAAGGGATTAGATATAAACGAAAGATTTCTTGATGAAACAAGTGTTAATATAGAACCTGACAAGGTGCTTTATAATGACATGCCTGAGGATAGTCAGTTAGAAGAATTCCCTGGTATTGAACAATCTGAACTATTAAATATTCCAGGGACACCAAAATCTGTACCCAACTTGAGACCTCAGCGCACTATTCATGCACCCAGGTATTTAGAGGATTATGTTACTTGGAAAAAAACTGGTAATGACATATGGGTAAGAATAATCCCCGTCTTGCCAGTACAGGTTTTTAAAGGGTGGTCCACCCCTTGCCCAAGGTACCAGGTATTACTTGAGTTTTGTTAAATGCTGTAGTTTGAAGTCTAAAACTTTTACTGTTTATTTTGTTTTGAAATTGTTAAAGTGAACTCCTGTATGCTTAAACTTAAACTGATACCCGAGGCATTTGTGTCTGGAAAAGAAAAGGGATGTAGTGTATTAACCATCAGTGGGTTCACATTAGTACATTAACCTTATTAAGCTAAGGAGTCTTATTTGTGTGTTAACCCGGAAGTACTATTAAACGGAGGTCATTACACCCAAGATGGCAGCCCAGAGCTGAGTTTAATCTGTTGTGTCTGTGTGTTTAATCCAGACCATCCGCTGTCTTAATGAAGACAGGGACTGTTCAGTAACGACGTTCGAAATAACGTGGGTGAAAGAATTTTATTGATCTATATACGCTACGGGACATTGCTCAGCAAATTCCATCCCATATTACTAGATTACGCACGTTTTCTAGATTAGGGCGGGTTCAGGGAGGTCGGACACAGTCTTGTCCCCTCTTTTCTTTGGTTACTCATAAGTGAGATGCCGATAATGCAGTGTTATTGTAAGGTGCGCCCCCTAGCCATTTCACGTAGATACCGTCTTAATCCCCTAAAACGATCGCTCATTCCAGCACGTCTTCTGATATTGTTACTAATTTTAGTAAGTGTGAACCTTTGAACTCTGTAACAGTTCCCGCCAAAATGCTGATGCAACATTTACTACATTTTATTGTATTTTTCTATATTTCAGAACAAATGGGATTCATTTTTATTGAATGTGGGTGTTGTTCAACATTTTTGAAAAGATATAAAAATTTTAAGAAGGTTTTTTTTTCTAAACGGCACTCGAACAAGAGTTACTAAGTATATTCTTTATTGAAAATACCATTCTGCTTTTGTATGTTATATTTGATGTGTTTTACCTGATACCCTCAGCTGAATGAGGTAACACAAAAGATAAAATTTAATCCCTAATTCAAGATAACACCCAAGCTGTTACTTGTAAATTACGTCATAATTGGACATACAAGAAGTAGTGGGGCTTTAGAATGATGTATTTCGTGAGATGATAACGCTATAAATATATATAATTTAAGTAGGAAACTCTATTATAGAATGGGAACATTGTATGCGCGATATCCGGGTCGCCGCTACACCACGACGTGCAGCGAAGAAACGCGATCCAATTTACCACTACAGAGCACACTGTGTACTGAATCGTAATAATACAAATAAGACTCATCATTAGTGTTCCATATCGGTACGGTACAAACATATGAATGACAAAATAAATACCAGGCGAAAACTTGAAGTAACACTCACAGCAAAAATACGATGAAACAAATTTAACTGCACTAATACGTCTACTGGCCGATCATAGCCAATATTACAATTTGCGAAATCACTGAGTTAGAAGGCTTTGTATTTGACTAGTACATTGTAGATATGTTTGTCTGAGGGTTAAGACCCCCCAGTATTCTCAAAATAAAATGGGCGGGAAAATGAGGGTAGAATATCTACTTTAAAACTTTTAGTGGTCTTAGTTTTAATACATCATATTTTTTTAGCTTAAACGTAATTTTAAAACATATTTTATGTTTGTTTGGTGGGCGTTGTGTTAAGACCCCCCAGTATTCTCAAAATAAAATGGGCGGGAAAATGAGGGTAGAATATCTACTTTAAAACTTTTAGTGGTCTTAGTTTTAATACATCATATTTTTTTAGCTTAAACGTAATTTAAAAACATATTTTATGTTTGTTTGGTGGGCGTTGTTTTACATATTTGCAACATTAAAGCGCGGTGGTCGTCGCGCTGCGCAAGTGCAACATTTGTGCTGATAAACATTGATTTTCCCACAATCCAATGCGCTCTTCAAATGGAAATTACAAGTATGAGGTTCAACCTGGGCGCGACTTACACTGAATACCACCGTTGACTCCTTTGATACTTTCCAATCACCTAAAATTACCTAATTAATGCTTCGAAACGTCTCATTTCGTACTCGTTGATATGCACAACGGTCAAAGTCGCCATCCTAGTTTATATGAGACCCATATATCTCGCGCATGCCTGGCGCGACGACTACAGCCCTTTAACATGCAGTGTAAACGAAAACTGTCGTCCGCTTTTATACTTACACATATATTTTACTAAAATTGTTTGACACATCGGTGTATGGTAACATCTTTCTAATGTTAATTTGACCAAGTACCCGGATGTATCTCATATATTAAAGCAGCGACAAGAAGGCCGGGGAAATAGGACAAATATTTAATATGTATTTTCCAAAGAAATCCCTTATCAGGTATATTGCATTTTTTATTTATCGTTGGTCTAATTATACTGTACGATAAACCTTCAGTGCGTAATTTTATTTTATAAATGCCGTTTTGGATGAATATTTCACCACAAACCAAGTGACTTAATACAATGGGTTTAATTTGCATGCTAATTGGATAAAATGTTTACGAATTAACCCATCCCAGATAACTTTCACTGTCGATGACATTGCCCATTTATTTTCAGTTTTAAGGAGACAGTTTACCAATTTTGTTTACGGAATAACAATCCTCGTAGATCAGATCTTTGTATATTTATAAAGTATGGCCGCTATGGATTACATTTATCCGCGGCCAAATGCGAAGAAATTTGTTATTGAGTTTTTGCTGAAAGTTTGTTTTTGTTTAACTTTCGTGACTATTGAAAATGTCATTTTCAATACTTTACTCTTTGCTAACAATGCACAGATTACGTCATCTATTCACTGTTAAATTGGTTCAACATTACATCCCGTATACGAATAGCCTTCAATTTTGAATGATAGCCACGTGATCGCATACACGTCTTTGAAATTGAGACTGAAAACTTAGCCGTACTATATTTCAAAAACTGGGAGGCCCATACAAAATCGAAGACGCGATTTCAACAGTGAAACAGTCATCAATATATAATGAACGAACAGCGAGAAACGGTTAATCCTGCAAAATAACGTTTTAGAGGTTTACGTGAACTCTCGTTTTTTAATCTCCTAAGGGAATGTCTCCACGAAATTACTCGATCGTATTCTGCTTCATGTCATGTTTCTGAAAACATACATATTGCCATAGTTACATGCTTAGTAACTGTTGGAGAATACCTTTATCGCTGCAACTCAGTTCTTCCCTGTGTTACCATACTTATTAAGCCCAGTGTGAGGCAGTAAAGGTCTGGATGGAACATGAATTGACAGTTGCATGTTTTGTGTGGCAAACTTTGTAAATTCATTGCTATTAGACGCTATATTATAACTGTCTGTCTTTGTGATGAGTCCAAATTGATTTGTATTATGTTCCACGGACAAGATGATTACATAAAAAGTAGTAGAAAAAACAGGAATAGCATGAAGTATGGGAAGTAGAGCGGCTAGCGTTCGATAAATATCGTATCCGAAACTTCACATTGTAGTGCATACACTAGACTATATACGAATTACGTTATGAATGTACATTGCACCACTACATGCGCGAGTGTTAGACGAGATCGCGCGAGCAGACTATGACGTCAACGGATTGGCACCGGCCCTGCATGGTGTGAACACACCTGTCATTGCAAAAAGCTTTCACCTAATATCCGTTAAAATTCAGACAGCTTAAAAAATCAGGAAGCTCTTAAGCTTTCACGGAAACTCTAACGCCTAGAGAATGCAACTATGAATATAATGTTGATTATGTAAGACTTCCTCTCCGATTTGTGTCGTAAAAACATGGCAATTGTTAAACCAGTAATTTTGTATGCAAGGGTTGTGAGATATACTGACATATTATATAAGTTTCGACAATATCTTTCCGGAGCATTCAATAATCTGGTTTCTAGGGAGTCTAAAATTGAGCCCTCGGATTCATGGGAGTGAAATCTATCAACTACACGTCAAGAACCGTTTTCTGTTGGATAAATAAACTGGGTTGATGTAACAGAAAGCGTCAATATTAACTAAAGGTTGGCATGTTTTCTGAAACACTTTCGTCAATATAGCATCAAACACGTCAATTCAAACGGAATAGTTACCTGATATTGTTTCAAATAATCAATTTGGTAAAATAATTTCAACTGTATTTCCCTTCCTTGTTTAAATAGCCAATAATAAATGTATTCTGTCAGCGTAGTAATCGGTTACATGGCGACATGTAGTCGACTGCACATCACATCAAACACCAGTATGGAAATAAAATAAAATGAAATAAAAACAAATAAATATAATAAAAAAAAAAAAAAAGGAAATCACGATAACTACGAAGTTACAAATATGTGGGCAAAAACTTCTCTATTCAAACAAAAAAACGGCAGAGAAAAATAATCTGACTACTAAATAATGTACAAGTATTTGGAATAA